GACTCCATTTTTCACTGACATAAATACATTACTGGTCCATTCTCAAATGGAACATGCAGAGCTGTTGAAGTTTGATCTCTTTATTAAACAGTAAAAATTAGAAAAAAAAAAAAAAGGTTTTGTTACTTATTGTATTATATGATGCATTTTCTGAGGGTTGCTCCGAAAGTAATGCCTCTCATTGTATGGCGTTGGGCCATGACATCAGAGGTGGATGTTGGCGGTGTGGCAGTAGGGGTCGAAGCTCCCCACCAATATTCCATGACGTGTTATTGCCGTGCGACAGATGGCAGCAGAGGGGCAGTCTGACATGGTGGGTCTGACATGGAAGTGGACATGAAGCAGAGATGTGTCACTGAACTCCTCCATGTGGAAAAAATGTCACCCACTGAAATTCACTGATTCACATGGAACACTGAAGAAGACCAAGCAGGGGATGTGAGCACAGTGAGGCAGTGGGCAGTGGCAACAGCAACAGTAGGTCAGCTCCACTGATGCAGATTTTTACAAGCATGGCATACAGGCTCTTCTTCATCACTGGTGAAAAGGCATAGCTCATGGTGGTGACAGTACTGTCAGCCTTTCCAGCTGCCTGATCACACTGCTGATTCATGTTCAAATTGCTGTTGACCAGTGTCCCTAAGTCTTTTCCATCAGGGCTGGTCTCCAGCATTTCATTCACCAGTCTGTATCAGGGTTGCCCCTTCCTAGGTGCAGAATCCAGCACTTGCTCTTGTTAAACTTCATGCAGCTGAAGATCACCCTCTCTTATTGTCTAGCTCTCTCTGCAAACCTTCACACCTTTAGTGGAATCAACAATTTAGTATCATCAGCAAACTCACCCAGAATACCTTCTAGTCCTATAGCCAAGTCAATTATGAAAACGTTAAAGAGAACTGGTCCTAAACTTGAGCCTGGGGAAGCCCTCTAGTGACTGGCCAACAGCCTGATGTAACCCCATTTGCTATAAAACGTTGAGACTGATCTGTCAGCCAACCGCTCACCCATCACATTATGTTTTTATCTAGCCATATGCTGGACATTTTATTCAAAAACATACTGTGAGAATCAGTTTCATAGCTTTACTGAAATCCAAAAAGATAACCCCTGGTCACCTAGATATGTGATCTTGTCATAAAAAACAATTAAGTAGCTAAACAGGACTGTTCCCTCATGAATCCTCCTCGTTGGCTGTGATCAATGGCTGCATTGACTTTCAGATGTTTTTCAGTAACTCTCAGCCATCATTTCTCCATCGTTTTACCATGCACTGAAGTGAAAGTGACAGGTTTATAACTAGCAGGGTCTATCTTTTTTTCCCTTCTTGAAAATATGAACATTTTCCAGCTTTCAGTCAACTGGGACCTCTCCAGATTCCCAAGACTGTTGAAAAATAATTGAGAGAGGTTTCGTGGTGACATTGGCCAGCTCCCTGAGTATCCTGCGACAGATCTCAGCAGGCCCCCTGGACCTACATGAATCCATTTCTGTGTTTCATGGTAATACTCTAAATTCTCCTATTTTTCCATTTGAGATACAAGGAAGATCTCATTCCTTTTACGGAACTTCCAAGCATGTCTTAAGTATATGGAAAAAATGTGAGTTCTCAGACAGCAGGAATCACTTCCTCAGCCTACCTGTTTCTGAAGCAGACTCCTGGGTCTAGCGCATTGAAATAAATACAGATTTCAAGCTCTGAAAATCAGAAAATAATGACTGAAGAAGGGAATCTACTGACAGCAAAGGCAGGAAGTTAGCATAAGAACGTGGAAGGTAAAAAGCAGCAGTGTGGGATCCAAAGAGGTATGTTTGTAGTATATTTAGCATTCAATAATGAATGATGAGTCAAAGAAAATTAACTACTCGGAGAAAACCAGTATATATATTTTTTAATGGTGTGTAAATGGAGTGGAAGATACCTTAGAAATGATGGGACAATACAAGTGAAAGCTCAGTAGACTGGGAAAGGGAGATACATCAGTAGTCTACTTGTTATCGCCAATGTTATTTAATAATGTTGCCATGATTTTCAGACAGTTTTACTAATTGTGTAAGAAGTAACAGTAATTTCACCATTATTTCACTATCATAGAATCATAGATTCATAGAATGGCTTGGGTTGGAAGGGACCTCAAAGGTCATCTAGTTCCAACCCCTCTGCCATGGGCAGGGTTGCCATCCACTGTGTTACACTGCCTGGCCTTGAACACCTCCAGGGATGGGGCATCCATCCACGACTTCTTTAGGCAGTCTGTTCCAGTGCCTCACCACTGTCTGAGTGAAGAATTTCTTCCTAACATCTGAACTAAACCTCCCCTCTTTCAGTTTAAATCAATTTCCCCTTGTCCTATCACTATCTACCTCCATAAAACAACGGTCTCCCTCCTGCTTATAAGCTTATAAGCTCCTTTCAAGTACTGGAAAATCACAATGAGTTCTCTCCAGAGCCTTCTCCTCTCCAAGCTAAACAATCCCAACTCCCTCAACCTAGGAGAGGTTCTCCAGCCCTTTGATCATCTTATGGGCAGCCCCAGGCATGGGCACGATGCTCCAGATGGGGCCTCATGAGAACAGAGTAGAGAAGGACAATCTCTTCCCTCTCCCTGCTGCCACCCCAGTGTTGATGCAACCCAGGATATTGTTGGCCTCTGGGCTGCAAGTACGCACTGCTGGCTCATGTCCATTGTACATGCACTACAGTCAACATTCTAGGATGATACACAAAAATAACCTAATTTTTGTTATATTTAAACACTTCTTCACCTTCCTTTACACTGTATCATTTAAGGCTTTGCTCATTCATACGAAGA